ATTTGAAGTTATCATTGTTAGGTCGAATTGCTGCGATAAAAATGAATGTGCTGCCAAGGATGTTGTTTCTGTTCCAAACATTACAAATTTTGGATAAGATGGATTGGTTCAAGAAGTGGCAGAAAGATATTTCTAGATTTGTCTGGCAGGGCAAGAAGCCTCGAATAAAATTTAAGATATTAACTGATGCTAAAGAAAGAGGCGGACTTGCCCTGCCAGACCTTAAACTTTACTATGAATCAGCTGCTTTTTGTTGGCTGAGAGAATGGCTGCTACTTGAAAACACTGACGTGTTGGACCTAGAAGGTTTCAATAATGTATTTGGTTGGCATGCATATTTGTGGTACGATAAGGTAAAAGTACATAAAGCGTTTAAAAATCATATTGTTAGAAAAGCATTGTTTAATGTTTGGATAAGATATAAAGATTTGCTAGAAAAGAAAACCCCAAGATGGTTGTCACCGATGGAAGCGAAGGCACAGAAAAAACTCAATATGGAGGCCAAATGGCCAAAATATTGGGAAATTCTGGAACAAGATGGAGACAGACTAAAACTGCAGAGTTTTGAAAAACTGAAAAATAAAGTGCGAGATTGGCTCCATTATTACCAAATAATGGAGGCATACAATTTGGACAAAAAAAATGGTTTCTAGGTGGAAAAATCAAAATTGGAAACAGAACTGTTAGATCCAAAAATCAAGAATTTGTCAAGAATGTATAACTTGCTGTTGAAATGGAACACTCAGGATGAAACGGTGAAATCAGCTATGATTAAATGGGCACAAGATGTTGGACATAATATAATGATGGCTGACTGGGAACAGTTATGGACCACAGGTATGAAATTCACGGCATGTAATGCCTCAAGAGAAAATTTAATGAAAATGATTTATAGGTGGTACATGACACCAGTCAAGCTTGCAAAAATTTATCATTTGCCCGACAATAAATGTTGGAAATGTAATGAGACTGAAGGTACATTCTTTCACCTTTGGTGGACATGCCCAAGGATTAAGACATACTGGGAGATGATTTATAATGAAATGAAAAAGGTACTTAAATATACCTTCCTGAAGAAACCAGAGGCCTTTCTCCTGGGCATGGTCAGCCAATTGGTGCCAAAGAAGGATAGAACCTTTTTTATGTATGCAACAACAGCAGCAAGAATACTCATCGCGAAGTATTGGAAGACACAAGATTTACCCACCCGGGAAGAATGGCAGATGAAGTTGATGGACTATATGGAATTGGCGGAAATGACTGGCAGAATCCGAGACCAGGGAGAAGAGTTGGTGGAAGAAGACTGGAAAAAGTTTAAAGACTATTTACAGAAACACTGTAAAATTAATGAATGTTAGAAAAATGTTGGAATGAAATTATATGGCTTTAGTAGAAATGTTACAAGGAATTAAGTATAAATAGATTAATAGAGTATTAAAGGAAAAAATAAGGTTAGAATGTGTTAAGATAATTATAGGATAGAAAACAGAGGAAGATGGAAAGGAATTGCTGAAACAATTAACAGAAGTGGAATACGAAAAGGGAGGTGGGAGGAGGTTGTGGAAATAAGTGAATGAAAGATAAGATATTGAAATTGTTTGATTTATTTTAAACTGTCTTTGTTTTGTTTTGTTAGTTTAATGTATTTAATGTGTTTTATGTATTAATGTTATGTAGTGTTTTTCTATTGTGTTGTATTGTGTTGTATTGTTTTTGTAGGGTTTAAATTGTCAGAAAAGTAATAAATATTAATTTTAAAAAAATAGAATAGCTGTGCAATTTTCCCCAGGTGTAAATGGCCTGTAATGCTGCTGTTCTACTGGGTTATGGCTTGTATAGATTGTTGTAGCCATTTCCTGGCTTATGCCACTCTCCAGTGGGTGCCCAGTCCTAGAAGATATCAAATAGCAAAGCACTCCCCAGCAGGGACAGGGCTGCAGATGGAGCACAGTGCAAACAAACCAAGGTCAAGCATGGAGAGTCAGCCAAGGTCCAAGGTATAAACCAGAAGCAACATCAGGCAACAATCCAAGGCTAATAGCGCAGGGAGTTCAGGCAAGCTGCAGGAACTAGAATCAGGAGCCAGAGACCTGTGCTGTTGCGTGGCGAGTCCCCCCCCCCCCAAGTGGAAATAATGACACAATTATTAATGTTAATGGGCTAAAAAAGGCCACAGCATTATTGGTTACAGGTGATGAGTGGTATTGGCTTAGGCATTCGTCCTAACCGCCTATATCTGACTTCAGCCCGTCCGCTTGAAGTCCGAGAAGGGTTAACCAACAGTAGAGGAGTCCTGCTGAGGCACATCAACTAGGAACTCCCCCGGGGTCACCGATAGGGGGCGTGCCTTAGGCCCTCACCTCCCCAGGCTTCGGACAGGGCCACGCCCCTCGGAATCCTTTATTGGACTACCCTTCAATATGCGGGGCAGGTGATGGCATTACCTCCCCTCTTCCATCTACAGAAATATACCAATGCCTAACCGCCAACGTCCCCTGAACCAGCCAATTGGCCGGCCAGGGGGTGACACAGCCAGGAATCCCCCCCAATCGTGTGGGGGCTGGCCTCCACCCACCGCGCGCATGGTGGGGCCGTGAAGCCCACAACCCCATCTCCTCCGAAGGGCGGAAGTGGCTTTTCCGGCAACTGAAAGGCTTGGGAGACTCTTTACTCATGAGCTGTGTGTTGACTCTGAGTCTGTAGCAGAGGTGCATTTAGGGGAGCAAGACTGGTCCGCCCGCACTGGGCACTGAATCAAGAGGGTGCCTGTAGCGGCACCACAACAACGACAAACAACAGAAGTGGAGAGGTGAAGGGGTGCCAAATTTTTATGTCACACACATGCTACGTCATTGCTCTTCAGCCACAGACCTGGATCTTACACACACACACACACACACACACACACACAGACAAACACAATTTCTCTGTTTTACAATTTAAAGTACTCATTTATATATCCTTAACATACCAATGACTTCCCTTCCTCTCTTTCCATGGTTCATTTTACATATGATAAATTCCTGCATATTTTACAGAAACTATTGGTTTTTTTGGGGGGGGGAGTACTTTTAAACATATTTTTCAGTTTGTTATGGATCATTTCCCAATACACTTTTACTCTTTTACAAGTCCACCAAAAATGTTCCCTCAGACCCAGATCTTTCAATGCTGGTGTTCTTGAGGACTGGGGTGGTGGTGGCTCCCACTCTTCCTTTGATACCACCAAGGGTTTTTCAGCAGGCCCTCCCTGAGAAGACCCCTCAAGGGGATCCTCAGTGCTAGTTCTAAGAGACCCTGTGTGCTCCTCAAAGTCCTTGGAGTTCACCCTCTGAGGACTCTACATTTACCAGGTCAGGGCTAGGCATGGCAGTAGAACCATTTCCTTCTCTATTGTCTATTTCCTCTCTAGGAATTAATTCTACTGCTTTAATCCTGAGATGGTGAACCTGCAGCCCTCCAGATTCTATTGGACTCCAACCCATCAGCCCCAGTCAGCATGGCCAGTGATCAGGGATGACAGGAGCAGCAGCCCAACAACATATGGAGATCCACAGGGCCCCCTGCCCCTACTTTAGCCCTCTTCTTTAACACTGCCTTTGGATCCTTTCTTTTTCTCCCTCCGCACACAAAAATAATTGTGTGCGCGTGTGTGAAGTGCAGTGGGGGCAGGGAGACGTAGTATTTCACCCTTTCTCACACAAATAATGGTCCCAGTGAAAACTGTCCCCCTCCAACATTTGGGGCAGAGGAAATGAAGACTGCACACTTGGCCACAGAGTGTTAGTTTTCTGGAAGCAGAGCTCTGCTTCCGCTTCCAGTTTAAGACAGAACAGCTGTGATGGGGATGCTGCCACATCTGGAAGCCCCCCTAGAAGAAGCCCCCATTGGGGTTGTCTTTTATCCTCGTTTGTGTGCAACGTGTGGCAATGCCCTTAAAACATTCCTCTTTTTGGTTTGTTCCAGGACACGAAGGAAAGATCGGGATGGCATCCATATGCCTGAAGGATGGGCTGCCCTTTGATGGGAAGGAGGTGTATGCCCATGCCAAGGACTGCTTGCCAAACTATGCTATACCTCGCTTCATTCGCATCCGGGTAAGGTGCTGCTCTGTTGCATCACTCTTTAGTCTGTATTATTAATGTTGTTAGCTGCCAGGAGTGAGCCTTCAGTAAATCACATGGAGTATGTGAAGTTAACTCTTTGGTACAAAAAACAGGATCTGCGCAGGAGTGCCAGGCCTAATAAGCACACCAACTCTTCTTCAGTAGGTCTTGCCTGCATGAGGCAGTGGCGGAGAATGAAGGTCCCTGCTTTCCCACAGCTGTCTATGTCACCTCCTCTTCCAGCAAGCAATATGAGACTGTGCCTGCCTGCCTGTCTCTGCTCCTCCCGCTTCATGCCTCTCCTGGTTCTGAGATACTAGTGAGGAAAGGAACGGGTCGCAGCAGGAGGGGGAGACACCTGTGCTTCTTCACCAGCCTGTCCCATCTCTGCTCCTTGGCCTCCCTCCTCTCCTGCTTCTGCTTCTGCCTCTGATTCCAGACTTCTCTCTGCCACCGCCTCTTCCTGCTCACTAAACCCTGTTACCTGTTAGCTCTCAAGAAGCGGGAGAGTTAGGAGGCAGCCAGAGTGTTGCTAGGCAATCAGCAGATAAGCAGAGGACTGAGAGTGTGTCGAGTGGAAGGGGGAAGGCGAGCCTCTCAGTCCCCGTTCTAGGAGAATGGATAAGGTCAGAGGACAACAGATGGGCAAGAGGGGAAGGGCTGGAATTTGACGTCCTTCCTGCTGTGAAAGGGGCGGAGATTCAGACTGACCAACTATCATCAATGCGAGCAGGCGAGAAGCCGTGCTCTGCATGTGTTTTTTATAAATAAACGTAACATAAAACTGCCGGAGAGTCATTACTTCTTATCAGGACTTGCCTGCCTGCCTGAGATGATTACAGGTGGGGCGTCATTCATGCTTCTGTACTCACCCCAGTGCCCTTTTTCACACAGGACATGCTGGAGACCACAGGCACTTTTAAGCAGCTCAAAAGTCAACTGATGAAGGAAGGATTTGACCCTGTCACCATCAGGGACCCCCTCTTCTTCCTAGATGACTTGGAAAAAAGTTACGTGCCAATGACTCAGCAGATCTTCAGTGACATTTCAGAGAAGAAACTGAAGCTGTGAACGTCTCTTTAGCTATCCTTAGTAGCACAGGAAACCCAAGAACAACTAGAGCACTGAACACTTTGGCTTTTGTCTGGGAAGGGCATGCATGCATCTCCATGAATTCTTGAGAATCCTGCACAAGTTAGTTCGGAGGACCCTTTTTTTTTAACATTAGTTTGTGTTCTCCTTTTGTATTTTTATGTTGTGAACCACCTTGTGAACGTCGAATGGATTTAATAAATAATATTAATGATACCACCAGATCGTTGCGCATCTGGAACAACAAAAGAACTAGGATCGGTGCTTCATTTCAGTAGGGTTCCAGACATGGCATGGTCTTGGAATGTGGTCCAAAAGTGATGGTTTTCCAGAGATGCTGGAAAAGGCCACTGTCATCTCAGAGCATTCTTCTGAGTCAGTGCACAGAGGATTTCAGCCACACCCAGTCATCGGTAGATAGAGCTAGATAGATATAGGATGGGTGTAAAAACGTAGGCTGGAGGGCTTTAGGAAGAAAGGGCAGGGGGATGAAGGAGTATACTGAAAGGGGGACTGGATGATTTTTTTTCCAGGGGGTGTACATGTGACAGGAGCTGTAGCTGGGGCTGCTGCACTGAGCTGGAGCTTGCAAGGAGCAGATCAGAAGCTGCTTTATACCAAATCAGACAACTGGTCCATCTAGCTCAATATTGCCTACCATACACAGACTGCAGGAGCTGTCCAGGATTTTGGGCAGGTGTCTCTCACAGCCGTATATCTGGAGATTCTGGGGATTAAACCTGAGGCCTTCTGTATGTAAGGCTCTGCCACTGCACTACAGCCCTTGACCTAGCCATAACCAGATGTACATATATGCAATGTCCACAGAGGGCAGCATTTGGCCTGCACATATGTCAGGATGCTGTCAGCGGCTCCTAGCTGGTTGCCCAGGAAAGTACGAAGACAAGGGAAAGTTTCTTACTGTTCTTTTTTTATTTCAATCTTTACAGCAGAGAGAGGCTATAGAGCCCAGCCTCTTGGATAATGGCATTGTCCTGAGTGAATCTCTGCCCCACCCCCCCGTCTCTCCCACTTCCTCACTCGTCATTCTCATTGTCTTCTCTACGGGTGCTGCTACGTGCCCTCTGTCTTTGAGCTCTTTGCTATCCTACTTTGAAAGCTCACCGGATTCTGAGAGATGGAGGGTCTGGAATGCCTTCTGAGGACAACGTTTCAGCTGAGTGTTGTTCTGGCTGTCCCATGATTTCCCAGCTTTCCCCCTCATCTGCCTCTGAGCTGCTACCTCCCTCAACCCCCTGTTTTAATTCTTAACTTCTTCTCTGGAAGGGTCAGGCTGGGGAGGCGGTCCCCACTATTCCTTCTCTGCCCAGTCCCTGACAACACCAGAGGTTCCCAGCCCCTCAGCTGCTCCTTGTGAGTGCAGCCTGCTCCCCAAGCTTATTGGAGTATAAAACGAAAGGCAGACATCTTTGCTAACTTACTGACCTTCACGGGTACCAAGGGTGGGACAAAAAATGAAATAAATGCATAAATGTCTGTGGAGAGTCCATTTGATTTTCTCTCCATCAACCCACATTTTGGAACACAGAGCTCTTGTAAGCATACCATACACGAGGCGCTGCAACTCCTGGGGGACGAAGCAGTTTTGGCGCGCCCCCCCCAATATTTTTGGGAGGAGGCCAGGCCCTCTCAATCTTCAGAGGGTGCTTGGCTTCACTCCTTGGCTCCTTGAACATCATCAGGACATCACGTGACGTGCGCTTGACATTGGGACATTGCGTTGGGCCTGCTCAATTGTCTTGAGAAGATGGCGCCTCTGCCGTATCCAAACAGAAAAGTGTTTTACCATAACTGCACATGTGGACAGAACCAATGTCCTCATCTAGTGCTATTTTTATAGAAAAAGAGGTGTTGGAACTCTCCCTCGTCCTCTTACGATGGCAATGGAGCCCACCTGAGAGGTGCTGGAAATGAGATCCGGTGAGTTCCGGCTGAAATAAAGCCCTGCCTTCATCCGAGAGGAAATATAATCACTAACCGTAAGTCAGAGGAGCTGTGTGTGCCACCAACCCTGTGCTGTGAGCCAAAGACAACTCAGTCCATGCAAATTAACTGTCTGCAGACTGACAGTCAAGTGTTCCCTCCTATCAGCTTGTGGGAACTGGTGGGAGAGTATAAATTCCATCTCATTTAATGTTCCTCATTGCTTTTCTGCCTTCGTTCAGCAGCTCTCAGACGGAGCCTGCAAGAGGCAGTGGGTGCCTGCAGCTTCCAGGAGCTTGGGTCTTCTGAAGCCAGACCCCAGCCATGCTTGATGTGAGCATGGTTGTGGCAGGGATATTGATCCTTCTCTACCACCTGGGGAAATTTTACAGCCCCTATTTTTGGCAGGACGTGGTCTCCTTCTTTCACATCCTTCAATTAGGATACAAATGCCACATGCGTCTCTGGCGCAAACATCCCATCACCTTACTGGAATTCTTCTTGGCCAAAGTCCAGAAGCACCCAGAGAAGCCCCTGGTCCTCTTTGGAGACGAAACCTATTCCTACCGAGATATCGACAGGCGCAGCAGTCAGCTGGCCAGAGTGCTCCTGGACCACGTGGGGCTGAAAGAAGGGGAAACGGTGGCTGTTTTCCTCAAGAACGTCCCTGCCTATCTCTGGGTCTGGATGGGACTGGAGAAGATTGGCAGTGTCATGGCGTGTATTAACTATAACATCCGAGCCAAGTCTCTCTTGCATGCCCTCAGCTCCTGCAAGGCCAAAGTGCTACTGACAACTCCAGGTGATGGTGACTGTTGGCTAGTGGGAAATAGCTGCACCTCAGGGGGGAAATGAAAGCATGTCTGGACTGCACAGTTAGGCCAGTTTGACCACTGCTCTCCTCTGGGCAAGGAATCCTGGCAGCAGCCCCAGACAGCTGCTTTTGAGTGTCATGAGTGAATAGTTAAATTTGTTTAAATCACATTTCTGCTTCCAGGGAAAGGGGTTTGTGTAGAAAGGGGTTTGTGGCCAGTTTTCGGTGGGGAGCACCATTTGCAACTCTTCTTCTTGCAGCAACGTTTCTTGGGCTGGATCCGGAAGAGATTGCGACTAGGAGCTTGTCCACACTTACCTTTCCTTGGCTCTTTCCAGGCATGGTTGGTGATTTAAAGCTTCGTGTCTGGGTGCCCTTCTTTTTGCTCCAGGGCTTTCTCTGTGAAAACTTGCTCTTCAGTGCTCAATCTGAGCCAACGCCAATCCAGGGAAAATCTGAATTCAGCTTTAAAGAGGAGAAGGTTTTTGCAGGAAAATCTTGGGGGGGAGGGGCGGGACGGCTCAAACACAGAGCCTGTAAAGAGTGAGGCAAAAGGTATCTAAAGTGTATAAGGCCCTTTTATCCTCTCTTTCTTCCCCGCTCTCACTTTTGATGTTGCAGTCCCAGACAAAATGCATGGTCACATTGCTGGATTTTGCAAATTGTGCAAAAAACAAACAAACAAAAAGGCTTGCTAACTTGGGGCTGATCCACACACTCCCATCCTCACCAAGTCTTCCCTGCAAAAACCTGTTCTTTAAAGCTGAATCAGAACAAGCATCAATCAGGGTTTTCTGTGGGTTGACGTTTGCTCCCATTGAGCACTAAAGACCAGGTTTTCACAGGAAAAGCTCTAGAGCAAAATAAATAAATAAATGGGGTGGGGAGGCACCTGGACACAGAGCTTCAAAGCACAGGCCATGGCTGGAAAGAGTGGAGGAAAGGTAAGAGTGGATAAACCTTCAGCTGATGTTTGCAGAGCTCCCTGTTTTGTGCCAGTTCACTGACTGCTCAGGTGACTAGGGATCCACAGTGGCTTCTCAGCTCCAGTTAGGTACATGGCTATACCTCAGGGCTGGGGGAGCTCTGGCCTACAGATGTTCTGGACTCCAAATCCCATCTGCCCCAGACAGCATGGCCACTGATCAGAGATTATGGAATCTGTCATGGATGTCGGGAAGGGGTAAGAGGCAAGGAGAAGCAGTTATCCTGTGGATGAACCTTAATCCCAAGAGTCCATGTTTTCATTTAACAATAAAAAGTAAGTTTTGAGCATTTGTAGAACCTGAGATATGAGGCCAGGCACTATGCAGGCACTATTCTCATTTCTTTTGTGAGAAACTAGCGTGCCCCTGCCTTTCAATACAGTTTTCCGCTGAACAGTTACAGAAGTCATTGACATTTAGGAAAGGAGACCTAGCCAAGAAGACAAAGGGCACCTCCAGTCCATCAATATTTGGGGGGAGGAATTCAAGAACATACTGGAACTTTTAAGTTTGCACAATTAAAGTGGGTTAAAGGGCGCTGCTCGCAAAGCGCAACAAATCAACTTTTAAAAAGATTCACGCTTTTTGCAGCTTGGAAAGCAATGGAGAAAAACATTGGAAAGTGTGGAATGAATTAGGGAATGGTTAATGGGAAAATGTTAAAACACGTAACAAGAAAATCAGGATAAATGCAGAAGAACACCTTTGAAAACACAACTGGGAAAGCCTGCAAACACCCCATGCCGCCTCTTTTGGTGACCTTTTGGGTAACGTCCGGATTTGATGCAATGTGTGTATATACGGTTGCATGCATATTGAACATGCGTAAATGGGGAGTTGCCTGTATTTGAAGATATCCGTGCCTAAGGTTAGGAAGTAAGCGTCAATAAAAAACCTCACCTCTTTTCATGCTCTCTTGAAGATTTCAAGGCCGCCATTGAGGATGTCCTTCCCGCTCTAAAGAATGAAGGAGTCCAAGTTTTCTTCCTAAGCGAAGACTCCCCAACCGAGGGTGTGGAAGCTTTGCTTGGGCAGATCCAATCCAGCTCAGCCGAGCCTGTGCCCATTTCCTTCAGAGCCAACGTAACTGCTGAATCTACATCCCTATATATTTTCACCTCTGGGACTACAGGTGAGGAGGGGAAAGGTCACAGTGATGGGTGAGGGGGGCAATTATGTCTGGAAATCCCATCTTCCTTCTACCTGCCCTACTTGTGTATGGGGTCATTAAGGGAGGGGTAGTGCCTTTGATAAGGGACGCGGGTGGCGCTGTGGGTTAAACCACACAGCCTAGGACTTGCTGATCAGACGGTTGGCAGTTCGAATCCCCGCAATGGGGTGAGCTCCCCTTGCTCAGTCTCAGCTCCTGCCAACCTAGCAGTTTGAAAGCACGTCAAAGTAGATAAATAGGTACTGCTCCGGCGGAAAGGTAAACGGCGTTTCCGTGCGCTGCTCTGGTTCGCCAGAAGCAGCTTAGTCATGCTGGCCACATGACCCGGAAGCTGTACGCCGGCTCCCTCGGCCAATAAAGTGAAATGAGCGCCGCAACCCCAGAGTCGGCCACGACTGGACCTAATGGTCAGGGGTCCCTTTACCTTTACCTTAGTGCCTGTGATGGGGAATCTGTTTGTTCCTTCTGGGGTAGTTTGTCCCACCTTTGGTCCCCATCTTGCACTCAGCTCTCACCTGTGGCTCCTAGAATCTGTCAACATGGGAAGGAATGTATTGGGATCCCAGCATGTTACGCTTTCCCACTGGACGGAGTCATTTGTGGTTGTTAAATGAGTCCTTCTCTTTTTCCTCAAGGGCTACCGAAAGCTGCTATCCTTTCCCAGAGGAAGATGCTGATAGCATCCAACCTATCAGGCCACCTTGGGGCCGGCCCCAAGGACATCGTCTACATCCTGCTCCCTCTGTACCACTCAGTTGCACTCTTAGTTGGGGTTGGAGGATGCCTGGAAGCTGGTATGTATGGAATGTCCACTCACACGCCTCCTCTGCAAGAGGGTGATAGGTAGAGATGGGTTGATAAGTGCATAGACATACACACATCCATGAGTGCAGATGTACTCTCAAGTTAGACTGAGAGACTGGCCCAATATCACCCAGTGATCTTCAGGGCGAGTGGGGACCAGAGCCCTGGTCTCCCGGGTCCTAGTCTGATGCTCTAACCACTACACAACGCAACCTCTCTCCACATAGGATCCTTCCTCACCACATATTTGGACTTTATACATTGAAAACACCTGCCGCCATTTAATTCTGAACATTCTTTCATCCACCCATGGGAAGAAGCAGACCAGGAAACCTACATGTGAAAGTCAAACATATTCAGGCTGTGTACATAACATGATTTTAAAGCGCACTGCTCCCCTGCGCCAAAGAACCATGAGAACTGTAGTTTACCCCTGACAGAGCTACAGTTCCCAACCTCCTTAACGAAATCCTCCAGCCCTGTTTCAGCTGCTGTCTGGCTCAAGAAGCAAGGAGGCTTTTGTATCTGTGAGGGTTCACTGCACATTTAGAGCAAATCCCTTAGTTGCTGCATTTTGCTCCAGCTGAAGTTTCCAGACACTTTCCAGAGGCAGCCCAACATATGACTTACATTGCAATAATATAATGCATGGCACTTAGAACTGCATCTGCCTATACCAGTGCTCACAACAAGGCCACACCTAAGCCACTCTCTCTTTATTCCCACAAGGGTCTACGTTTGTCTTGAAACCTAAGTTCTCCGTTTCTGAGTTCTGGAATGACTGCAGACGATATCGGGTGTCCCTGATCCTGTATGTGGGAGAAATGATGCGCTACCTGTGTAATGTGGAAAAGGTAATAGTTGACAAGAGAGGCCAGTTTTGTTGTTGCGGCAAAAATGTTGCCAAGTATTCAGATGGATTGTCCATTTGGATTCACAGCTGAATCCAAAAATATAGATGGGGGCTGCACCTAGAGGTCAAAGTCAAGAGCCCCACACAGCCAGGAAGCTCGCAAATGACCACCTGGAGAGCAGCCATCTTCTTTTCTCATTGTTTTTTAAAAATCCATTTTATTGCAGAGGAACAGCTGGTGAAGCGGGTACACAGTTGCAGGCACTCATTTTATTATTATTATTATTATTATTATTATTATTATTATTTAACTTAAAAATATATTCCTCCTTTTCTAGGCAGCAGTGCCCCTGGTGAATGCCACCCCATCTCCAAAAAACAAACAAACAAACAAACAAACAAAACCCTCAAATGCTCCAGAAGCTGCATCAATTTCCAGGGTAGTTTATGGCCCTGTCAGTTTCTTTTGCTTGGTTTTTAAAAGAAGGCCCATGGGCCCTGGCAGCTACCTGAGAACCAGAATTGGAAACCATGGTTTGGAAACCTTTGGTGACATTGGTTGCCTTCTATCTGTGGCACAGCACGTAAATTGTGAGATTTGTTCCTGCAAGAGCCAGTGAAGGCCGCCAACTTGGGTAGGCAAATTCTGCTGTTGTGCTCTGTTGCTGCTTGTTGGCTTCCCACAGGTATCTAACAGATCAAGATAATAATCATAATAATCATAATAATAATTTATTATTTATACCCTGCCCATCTGGCTGGGCCTCCCCAGCCACTCTGGGTGGCTTCCAAGAAAATATTAAAATACGGTAATGCATCAAACATTAAAAGCTTCCCTAAACAGGGCTGCCTTCAGATGTCTTCTAAAAGTCTGGAAGTTGTCGTTCTCTTTGACATCTGGTGGGAGGGCATTCCACAGGGCAGGTGCCACTACCGAGAAGGCCCTCTGCCTGGTTCCCTGTAACTTGGCTTCTCACAGTGAGGGAACCGCCAGAAGGCCCTCGGCACTGGACCTCAGTGTTTGGATAGAATGATGGGGGTGGAGACGCTCCTTCAGATATACTGGACTGAGGCCGTTTAGGTGTTGTACCAGGTGGGCCACTGCCCTGATTCAAGGCTATTCTTATGGCATACTGTTTAAATAACAGCCCCTCAGCTGCAGTCTGAACCAGGTGAAGTTTCCAAAGAGCCTTCCTAGGAAGCCATTCACAGAGCACATTTCATTAACCTGACATGTTTGTTATCAGGAGGACAGGAAGCCGGCACTGGTCAGTGTGGCATCATTGTTAGAGTGTTGGACTATGACCTTGGAGACGGGGGTTCGAATCCTCACTCAGCCATGAAGCTAACTGGGTGACCTTGAGCCAGTCACGATCTCTTAGCCTAACCTACCCCACGAGGTTGTTGTGAAGATTAAATGGGGAGGAAGAGAACCATGTCCATCACCTTGAGATCCTTGGAAGATAAAGGTGGCATAGAAATGTATAATAATAATAAATACTAGCAAAGTTTATTTAGTTCAGCAGCGACCCCTCTGACATGCTGCTTTGCAGACAGACAGCGACCGAGACCACTGTGTGCGAATGGCAATAGGCAACGGCATGCGTGCGGAGGTCTGGAAGGAGTTCCTGCACCGATTTGGACCCATCCAAATCTATGAGATCTATGGAGCGACAGAGGGGAACATCGGGTTTTTTAACACCACAGGAAAAGTCGGAGCTGTGGGAAGGTCCCACTTCCTCTACAAGGTAATGAGAACTAAACTAGAATATCTCAGCAAACCCATCGCTACCTGAAACCCTGTTTATATATACATTCTTATCTAGATATACATTCTTACCTAGATCTTACCTAACCCCTGGATGGTTAAGTCCAATCAAAGGTGACTATGGGGTGCAGCACTCACCTTGCTTTCCAGACTGAGGGAGACGCTGTTTCGGCTGCAGACAGCTTTCCAGGTCATGTGGTCAGCATGACTAAACCACTACTGGCACACAGATGAGTGCCAGTGCACAGGGAAATGCAGTTTACCCTCCCACCACAGTGGTACCTATTTATCTACTCGTACTGCTATGCTTTCAAACTGCTAGGTTGGCAGAAGCTGCGACAGAGCAATGGGAGCTCACCCCGTCGTGCAGATTCAAACTGCCAACTTTCCGATCGCAAGCCCAAGAGGCTCAGTGGCTTAGGCCACAGCGCCACCCACGTCCCTCTCTTGAAATATATGGAGTGGATGTGGCCCACGTCTTACTGCACACAATCCAGAACTTGTTATTCCTGCTGCACTCTATTCACAGGGCATGTCAGGACTGACCACCTCTCCTCTCAGACAGCTAGAAAGCAGTAGAGAGAATGCAACACGAAGGTGAAGCAAGATAAAAGCCCACAGCAGGGGAAAGTACAGGGAAAGGTACCAAGAATTTTGTCGACAACCCCCAAGCAAAAATGTACGACTTGGAAAGATAGTTTGTTGGCATAGTGCAGCCTCCGCAGGTTGCCCACTGCCCAGCTGTTCCTGCTGAGGTTTAAGCCTGATCTCGTCCATTATGCCAATCAATGAATCAGTGGCAAAGAGGGGCATGGCTGCCAAGCCACACTGCCAACAGACAAAGAAGCAGCTCCAGTGGCACCTTGCTGCATTTCCTTACTGTGTGCCGAGAAAGGGAAACCCTTTTCTCAGAACTCCGCAAGGAAGCATGTCTGGTGAGGCATTTGGGCATGTGTATATCTGGATTTGGGCCCGTCCACTTTGGGCTTTGCCCCCCAACAACAGCACATCATTAAACTCAAATGAGGCAATGCAGGCAAGAAAGGGGTTCTCTGCCCCTGAGCTTCAGCTGCTACCAGAGGAACTCTAACCAGTGAGGTACAGCAGCAATGTTGAGGGGCCTTTGGCTCTCCAGATGTTGATGAAGTATAACTCCCATCAGTCCTGGCAAGCATGGTCAGTGGCCAGGGGTGATGGCTGCAGTTCATTCAGCGACACCTGGAGGACCAAAGGTTCTCGATACCTAGTTTAGATCAAGGAGACCAGACTAAAATCTCTGCTCAGCTGCAAAATATCAAATATTATTATTATTATTATTATTATTATTATTATTATTATTAGCTATAAGCTCCCTGTTCCCTTGGGTCATTCATAAAATATATTCCAGTCCATGTGTAGCCTTGAATTTCAGCCTTGTGGGATCATGTTTCCATTTCCTGCTTGTTCCACCTCAGAAACTGGTAAAGTACGAAATCATCAAATATGACGTTGAAAAGGATGAGCCTGTGAGAGACAAGAACGGACATTGCATCCCAGTGACTCCAGGTAAGCCAAAAAAGCTGGCATTCAGAGAGGAACTGGGCTTTGTGTTGTCAGAGTCCTAACTCACAAGAAGGTACTGTACATGGCCTCTAGACTGTGGAAATTGCTCACATGTCTCCCAGCAAGAAAGATGGCAGAGTCCCTTCTTCACACATAGAACAGAAGAAGAATCATCGAAAGAGGAAGTGTGAGCTACTCCTGCTTTGTGTTAAATGTGAAGAGTCTTCATCCATCACTTCAGGGGCACCAGAAGGGATGGATGCATCTGTCAGTTTCAACTTCAGTTTCTCATTTCTCCAGTCTTAGGTTGCTTCCTGTTTAATGAGCGTTCATCCAGTTTTGTTTGCAGGGAAATTAGATGTCATTGGTTGTTTAATTCATCCTGATTTATTTGCAGGGACGTTAGACGACATTGCATCAAAGCAAGCTTTAATCTTCACTTTCTAGTCCATTTCCCCCATTCCATTCCTTTGTGCAAAAAGTTCAATATTTGGGGGAAGGTTTGTTGCACAGGACCTCCTATAATTCCACAGACTGAATTTGTTGGTATGTGATTGAATCCTACCTGAAAATAGGATTCTATATCAGCTAATTTTTATTTAATTTTTTTAATTTAATTTAATTTAATTTTTTAAATTTAATTTAATTTAATTTTTTAATTTAATTTTATTTTTTTAATTTTAATTTTATTTTTTAATTTTTTTAATTTAATTTAATTTTTTTAATTTAATTTTATTTTTTTTAAAGCCACACAAAAATTTGTTTCTTCTATTGTACACATGATCCTGTGGGATTTCCCCTAATATTCGCATTTTGGAAAGTAATTTTTTGTAAAATAATGTGTTTCTGGCCTGTCTTGAATCTACTGCTCAGGGATTTCACAGGGTGGCCCAACTGAGGCCAGCATCCTGCCAAATCAGCACTGTCTGCAGCAATCAGGTGTGGTGATGTGCTTCACCCAATTTAGGGACTCATGCCTGAGGAAACAGTGTCCTAAAGCAGAGTCACTCGCATGTGCTCCCTTGCTGTGCATTCTGACAGCTGCTAGAGATGCCAGCAGTGGCAGATGTCAGTGGCAGCAAGGAGAACGGTAGGAAGGCTGGTCCCCAGTAGCATTGGCTGACTCCCACCGGAAGCACCCAGAGGCAGTCGTCTTGCCCGTGGTTCTTTGTTGGAGGATGAATATTAGTTGGTTCAGCTTCGTTTCCTTTTCTTTTCCCAGGTGAGACAGGCTTGTTTGTGTCCAAAATCACTGGGCTTGCCCCATTCTATGGCTACGCAGGAGACCGACAGAAGTCGGAGAAGAAGATTCTCCGGGATGTTTTCACCAAAGGAGACTGCTACTTCAATAGCGGCGACCTTCTGATGGAAGACCAAGAAGGCTTTCTATATTTCAAGGACCGGGTAGGAGATACTTTCCGGTGAGTCCGGCCACACAGGTTCTGCGGCTGATATTCTGACAAATGTAGAACAGGCAGTCAGCACCAGTGTTTCATTAGCATAGGTAGCATTCACAAATGCTGGCAAACACCTAAGAGCTAGTGTAGGGCAGTGGCTCAGAGTGTCATGAAGCATCTAGTTCAAATCTCACCACATTTGTCCCCAGGTGTAATTTGGGTATAATAAGGCTCACTTATCTTATAGATGTTGTTGCAAGGTGGGGATGGGAAACCTGTAATCCTGCAGGTGTTGCTGTACTACAGTTCCCATCTTCCCTGACCACTGGCCACGCTGGTTGAGGTTGATGGGAGTTGAGGTCCAGCCAGATCTGGAAGGCCACAGGCTCCCTATTGTCGCCGTAAGGATCGCAACAAGATCTTGTAAGTGAAGAGCTCTGAATGATTACCGTAAAACCAGTATCCAAATACTAATAAGTAATTTTATCTCATTACTGATAACAAAATATCTAGCCCATCCTTTGTCAATGGTTAGTCACTGCTTCAATGAATATGACTGGATCTACGTACTTTTGCTCTTTCTACTGATCGTTCATTGTTTTTTTTAGATGCTTGTTCATTGTATTTTAGGGCTGGTTGTTTTGATACTGTTGTTAGTCGCCCAGGCTATTCTAAATAAATAGCAGGAAAGGAAGATGCACTTAAATAAGGAAGATCCCAGGGTGCGTTACAAGGCAATAATACAGTAAGGGCCCCTCTAGACCAGTGTTTCTTCGTGGATATATTCTGCACAATGCCATTGGTGTAATAATAGCGCATTAGTGGTGGATTTATACTGGACCATGCGCACATCATTTTGCTTTATGAGTTGTTCTGCGATGCTTCCCCGACGTTAATGCATCATCTGGAAGGGATCCAGCAAAAGCTGCACTCTGCCAAGCATTTGTGGCATTAAAGGTTACTGGATTAGAAGCAGGAAGTTACGGGAGCTTTAACAGTTGGGAACAAAGCCCTGAGTCCTCCCTGAAACTTTTGAAGGCACAAACAGTATTGAAAGAGGGAGCATGTATAACTGCCCTGATACCGTCATGAGCACAAAGTATGTATACAATTAAAAGGGTGTTTGGAGGGCCCCCAAAACAACCCCTATATCAAACCAACACAGCACAACTTACGGTATATAAGCTGGCAAGGAACCACAAACTGGCCTCTCGCTTGCGCCAATGACAAAATTCCCGATTATGAACGAAAGGAGGGATGTTCACTTTTACCAAACCCATCTGGGAATAATCTGTTTTGTCCATGCAGCTGGAAAGGGAAAACGTGGCCACTACAGAAGTGGAGAACACCCTGGCACCACTGAGATTCATCCAGGAAGTCAATGTCTATGGGGTACCAGTGCCAGGTGGGTCTGAAATTCCATTGGATCAAAACCCGTCTTTCTGCTGCCACATTTAGCGTCCAAATATATGGCAAGATTATTCGCTCACCAGCAACAAGGTTCAGTCGCTCACGAACGGCTGCAGCTCTTGGGTCATTTGGATTCTGTGAACCGATTTGTGAAAGGCTGGTAGCGGATATCCCCAGACTGCAACTGAATCACTCTTGCAAGATAGTGGTCACGCCCACAACATACATTTACAGAAGCCTATGTTTAAAGAGTCCGTGTGGTGTAGTGGCTAGAATGCTGGACTAGGAGCTGGGAGACCAGGGTTCAAATCCCCACTCAGTCATGAAGCTCACTGAAGTGACCTTGGGCCAGTCTCTCACTCTCAGCCTCACTTACCTCAAAGGGTTGTTGGGAGGATAAAATGGTGTCGGAGCCAGCCGTTACAAATGGCGAAGTTTAGCATAAAATAAAGACACAGAGAGCCAGCAATATTTTCATGATGGTAGGAGCAGCTCCTTTCGAACTTCCCTCTCCTCCTCCTGCAGCTTCTTTTTTTATCCTTTGTCTCTCTCCAGCCGCATGGCTGTTTGCCAATGTCTCATGTTACCTCATCCGGTCAAGGCTTTTATTGCCCCCTTCACCATATAGGGTCAATCACTGCCCAGAGGAAACACAACTGCATTTAAGTCAATACATTCCAATACATTGTAAAGCTCAGAGTGCTGGTCAGCCGAGGTCAGGGGCACCCTGCAATATTACAAGCCTTTACCGTGGCTTTATGACTCCCACAAAATGGGGAGGAGGTGAAGCTTGTTCACCGCCTTGAGCTTCTTAGAGGAAAGGTGGGATAGAAATGAAATAAACAAAACATTTAACACACACTTAAAGCACATGGCTTCCTCAAGGAATCCTGGGAAATGCAATCTGTTAGGGGTTCCAGGAATTTTAGTTCCCGGGATTCTTGGGAGGGGGAGGAATCATAGAATCAACAAATTATAGAGTTGGAAGGGAACACGAGAGTCATCTAGTCCAACCCCCTGCAACGCAGGAAGCTTTTGCCCAACGTGGGGCTTGAACCCATGACCCTGAGATGAAGAGTCTCATGCTCTACCGAAGTGTGTTTTCAATGTACCGTGTGGGAATGTGACAATCTGGAGGCAGTCCTGCATTTCTGTGCTGGTTGTGAAGGAAAGGTTCTTGTTTTCCTCCACGGCTAGCTCAAAAACCAAAATGGTCAATGTAGAAAATCCAAAAAAAAATTGGAAAAAGGAAAAGATCAGAAGAACAAGAAACTGGATCATTCATATGGCAGGGTAAGCCTGTGTGAATTGGAGTGTTTTAGCTAGCCAGTCCACAGCTGTTCTAGGTGCATTCATTTACATGTGACATGGCTTTCCACACACACCGCCAACCGGTTCCTTCTGGTTTGTTCCAGGCCATGAAGGAAAGACTGGGATGGCTGCAATCTGCCTTAAGAAGGGGCACTCCTTTGATGGGCAGAAGCTGTATGCGCACGCCAAGGATTTCCTGCCAGCCTATGCCATACCTCGCTTCGTTCGCATCCAGGTACGATCCCTTCTTGTCACTTTCCTCTCTGTGCTTGCTGCCTTGAGAAACCCCATAGGTCAGCCTCCTACCCTGGGAATTCTTCCCTTCCCTGCCTCTCACACTTCATCAGCCATCCATCACCTTCTTGCTCAGCTGTTTCTCAATCAATGAAGCACCAGGGGGCAAGACCATGCGGAGAGGAGGCTGGCTGGGTACAATATGTCTTTGTGAGCCTGTGCATGAATGGGCATGTGTGTTTGAGAGAGTGTGGGGCACGGATTCCTCTATAGTGTCCTTTCCTGACTTTTCGGCTGATTCCTAATCAGAGGAGCAGCAAGGGGAGGGGAAAGGGTGTGTGTGTGTGTTGCATGAATGTGTGAGTGTGAAAGGGTGTAGAATGACCTCATCCATGGCCAGCTCTGCATGCACACACACACACACACACACACACAGCCAAAAGAATGAGACCCTCCAGCTGAAAATGCATTCCCTGCCTATAGACAAGCACTGACCCAGGGCAGGCCAAGTCAGAAGACATAGTCTCATCCAGACTTTCTTTTGTGCCACACTTTCCAAGTACAGGTCTGTGCTTTAAAACTCTGCGTCCAATAAGTTTTTTGTTTATTTGTTTATTTTCTCGGGGGGCTCCCTCCCCCCCCCCCCCGGGAAAACCTGTATTTTACCGCTGAATCAGAGCAAACATTAATCCATGGAAACAGGGGTGCTAATTTGAATAAAACATGGGGGGCAGGTATTGTATGAGAGGGAAGGACGTTGGCCCCTAGGAGTTGGCTCCTATGCATGGAAGCCCTGACTGTCATTTCCTCCAAGCTTTCCCAGGGAAAGTGCCAGGATAAAAACAACAACACTCAAAGACAGCCAGCACAAAAGGAAGTCCGGATGAGCCCTGAGTCATAGATCCATGTTGTTTGGCCTTCAGCAACCGGGTGTCAATGAACAGAGTGAAATCCACTCTCGTTATCTCTAATGAGATGCTTAAGATGCCAGCTCCCCTAGCAGAGCTCAGAGCCTGTTCTTGTACATCTGTCTGCCACTGCTCAAAACACTGACTCCCTTGGCCTGCTCTAGGAATGTCTTGGAGCGGGGTGTCGTTGGTTGTTCTCTACTCACTGCACTGCTCTTTCCCATGCAGGACACCCTGGAGATCACGGGCACTTTCAAGCAGATCAAAAGCCAGTTGGTAAAGGAAGGATTTGACCCTGCTGTCATCAGTGACCCCCTCTTCTTCCTCGATGACTCTGAAGCATGTTACATGCCCTTGACTCCACAGATCTTCAGCACCATTGCAGAGAGGAAGCTGAAGCTGTGAAAAGGAGCAATTGTCTCTTTAACTGCCCTAGTGGCAACCTAGGAACAACTATAGTGTTGAGCTACTTGGCTTCTGCCTGGGAAAGGGGGGGGGGTAATCTATTGCCACGGCAGAGCTTTCCAAACTTTTCATGTTGGTTGATGGGAAGTTCTGCTTCTGCACATGAGTCTGGCAAACCGCTCTAAGCTGAAGCGTTCCTTCCTCACCCACCCTAGAATGTTTAGTTCACATTGAGTTCATGAAACATCGTACCCTGACCTGTTCTTAATGCATGGTTGACCACATCTACGGAATGCGATAGTTATGCTCTTTTAATTTTTGCAATATCAATCACTAGTAATAGTTTAATAAGGAGGTTTTCATACCTGTCCAACCATGTGTTCCCTTTCCCAACCTTTAATCTATTGATGATTAATGCCTATATGCAACCCTTGCATTGTATTTGTGTTAACCAATCAGCAACAAGCACATATGTGGCAATGCTGTAATATTCAATAAAAGGGACTCCCCGAGACATGCTCGAGAGATGCCTCCCATATGACACTTGTCATTCGTCTGTCGTTTATTTCAACCCAACAGTTGGTGACACACTTTTTAGACATACATCATTTCATGACACGGTAATTTAGTTCTACTAGCAAACCAGAGGTTAAACGAGCCCTTTCCAGCCCCGGGAGGAGCGAGGGAGCATTCACGTGACATACCTACACACTGCAGCCGACACACAAATGTGTCACGACACATGGTTTGGAAAGCTCTGTGCCATGGTTCTCAAAGTGGGCAGTTAGCCACCCCAGGTTGTGGTGAAGGGATTACACGGTGGGTGCTAAGAGACAAGTGGGGGTGGCACTGAAGGTGTAAATGACTATTGGATTTTGAACAAATGTGAAAAAAAATTCCCCAAAAATTTTATTAGTTTTCCACATTTATGACAAATATAACATATGAAACAAAACACATTACAATACTTAAAAAAGGAAAAAAACACATATTCTTTCTTATTTTCATTTTAATTTCCATTGTTAAGTGACTTCCTCAAATCCCCCCTAACTGAATTTCATTATATAACCTTGTAACAGTTCTCCCAAACATCTTTCTAGATAATTAGTTCCTTCAATTGACTATATTCAACTCTTTTCTTATTGTCTTAAATCCATATTGCTATGCCACATTCTTATTGTTATCTTAGGCCTGTTTAGTAATTTCAAGAACCTTCTCAATTATCTTATATTACAATATCATAGTCTTTAACTTTCATCCAGTCTTCTTGGTTTTCCTCCTCTTTCTGTTCACGAATTCTTCCAGTCAGGTCAGCCAGCTCCAGAAACTCCAACATCTTCATCTGCCGTTCTTCTACCATTGTTTTTTCTTGAGATTTCCAATTTTCTGCTAATAGCAGTATTGCCGCTGTAGTGGCATACAAAAATGACCTAACATCTTTTTTGGGCAATTCCAGTCCTATTATTCCCAGTAAAAAGGCTTCTGGTTTCTTTACAAATGTATATTTCAACATTTTAACTCATTATAAATCTTTTCCCAGAAGTCCTTAACCTTAGGACACGTCCATCACATATGGTAAAAGGTGCCTTCCTTTTCTTAACACTTCCAGCATGAGTTATCATACGTATGATAAATCTTTGCTAGTTTTACCAGGTTTAAGTACCACCTATACATCATTTTCATATTTTCTTTTAGTACCGTACATGCCGTGAACTTAACCCCTTTCTTTCACAACCTTTCCCAATCTTCCAATATTATATTGTATCCCACGTCTCTTGCCCAATCTATCATAACAGATTTGACTTATTCATCCTTTGTATGCCAATCCAACAGCAACTTATACATTTTAGATAGATTTTTAACATCCGTATCTAACAACTCTGTTTCCAATTTGTTTTTTTCCGTTGCAAAACCATTTTTCTTATCAAGCTTATACAACTCATTGATCTGGTAATATTGTAACCAACCATCCAGTTTATCTTTAATTTGATCAAATATTTTCAATTTAAATCCTTCATTATCTTCCAACAATAAATCAGCATATTTCAACCATTTTAGTCTCCATATTTAGTTTTTTCTGGGCCTTAGCTTCCATTGGTGAAAGCTACCTGGGTGTTTTCCTTCTAAGAGATCTTTGTATCTTATCCAAACATTATATAGAGATTTTCTAATTACATGATTTTTAAAACCTTTGTGGGCCTTTACCTTGTCATACCATAGATATGCATGCCAACCAAATACATTGTCAAATCCCTCCAGAATCAACACTTCAAAATTGTCTAATTGAATCCATTCCTTTATCCAGCAGAAAGCTGCAGCTTCAAAATATATCTTCAGGTCTGGCAGGGATAATCCCCCTCTTTCTTTCTTTTTTTTTTTTATAAAATATTTATTAGAATTTTACAATAAACATAGGTTTAAAAAAATTAAGAAAATTAAACCAAAGATTACACATAAACAGAAAAAGAAAAAAGATAACAAGGATAATACCAATAAAACAAGAACCTAAGATAATACCAAAAAAAACAAGGACCTAAAAGAGAAAAAGGAAAATACAAAATACAAAAAACAGATGGCTTAAAAAAGAAAAAAAGAAAAAAAATTAAAAAAGAAAAAATCCATTTTTCAATATCTTTAGGCTCATTTACTTATTTCCTTGACCTCCTCACACCTCCCCTTTTTGTATTCCCGTTTACAAAATCCTTTCAGCAAATCCTTACCCTCTTCCATTTATCTTTACTCTATATCTTAACCTATTATAACAATATATTTTCATCCATATAACAATCTATATTTGCATATTCTTATTAACCTTATTACCAAAACCACTTATTTCCATTCCAACATCATTTTAACATTCATTAATTTTACAGTATTTCTGCAAATAGTCTTTAAATTTCTTCCAATCTTCTTCCACCGACTCTTCTCCCTGGTCACGGATTCTGCCAGTCATTTCCGCCAGTTCCATATAGTCCATCACCTTCATCTGCCACTCTTCCAGGGTGGGTAAATCTTGTGTCTTCCAATACTTTGCAATAAGTATTCTTGCTGCTGTTGTTGCATACATAAAGAAAGTTCTATCCTTCTTTGGCACCAATTGGCCGACTATGCCCAGGAGAAAGGCCTCTGGTTTCTTCAAGAAAGTGTATTTAAATACCTTTTTAATTCATTATAAATCATCTCCCAGAAAGCCTTAATCCTTGGGCACGTCCACCAAAGGTGAAAGAATGTACCTTCAGTTTCTTTACATTTCCAACATTTATTGTCGGGCAAGTGATAGATTTTTGCAAGCTTGACTGGGGTCATGTACCACCTGTATATCATTTTCATAATATTCTCTCTTAAAGCATTACATGCCGTAAATTTTATACCTTATGGTCCACAACTGTTCCCAGTCAGCAAACATAATGTTATGTCCAACGTCCTGTGCCCATTTAATCATAGCAGATTTAACCGTCTCGTCCTGAGTGTTCCATTTTAACAGCAAGTTATACATTCTTGAAAGTATCTTTGTTTTAGGATCTAACAGTTCTGTTTCCAACTTTGATTTTTCCACCTGGAAGCCAATTTTTTTATCTAAATTATAAGCCTCTCTTATTTGATAATAATGAAGCCAGTCTCGCACTTTATCTTTTAGTTTCTCAAAACTCTGCAATTTCAATTTGTCTCCTTCTTGCTCCAAGATTTCCCAATATTTCGGCCACTTGGCCTCCATATTGAGCTTTTTCAGGGCCTTTGCCTGCATCGGTGACAACCACCTTAATCCCCCCCAGATTACTAAAGAATCTGTTAGTAACTTACTGGTATATTTAATTCTGGGTTTTCCCCCCGCCAGATAAATTTAGACAATGCTTTCTGCCATTCTTTAAAACACTTAACATTATCAATAATTGGTATGGCTTGAAATAAGAACAACATATTTGAAAATACATTCAACTTTATCACTGAAATTAATTGTTACCGTTTTGAATTTTATTGTGTTATTATCTTCCTTAGTGGGTGGTGCAGACTGCTATTCTGAATAATGCTTTTTATAGATTAGAAGGCACTGGGGATGAGTATATGGAACCATGGGGGCTGTGGCCCAAAAAGGTTTGGGAGCCACTGATCTAGTGTTTATTTCTTATCTGCTAACTCCAGGGTGTGAGCATGCATATATATGTATATGCTTTTGAGTGCATAGGGATTAAAAAACAAAACAGCACCTTTTCCTTTAACGTCCTCAATTGGGCAATACCTTTATTAGGGCCAAGCAACATGCCACTAAAGAGTTGCAGGCTTTGGAGTGCTGCAGAACTCTTCGTCAAGCAAGATATCATACAAAGCAAGTCACGGGATGGGGAGTGAGAACAAACAAAGAAGTAAAATATAGGCTTGAGGTTGCAGTCACTAGGTCAGTTTCTAGATTTAAGGTGTGCACAAATTACCACTTTAGAGCACAGTGAAGTGCCATTTCACAACTCCCTCCCCTCCAGGTGTTCACATCCAGTGGTGTAGCGTGGGGGGTGCAGGGGGGCCGGCCGCACCGGGCGCAACATCTGGGGGGGGCACGCTCGCACTCGCAGCTCTCTGCCCCTACCTGGCTCACTCAGGGTTAGGGGGCACAAATTACTTGCCTTGCCCCGGGTGCTGACAACCCACGCTACGCCACTGTTCACATCAGCACAAATTCTTTAGTGTCAGATTTGTTTCTGCTTGTATACACACTATGTGTAGTGTACTAACAGCACACTGTCTTCTGACTAATAGCGTATTAATGCTTCCCTTATGAAATGCTGCATTTTGAGGCGCAACCTCCTGCAACCAGACTGCAGTTTAAGATACTAATGCATACACTGTCATAGAATGCCATGTTTCTTAGTAGGAATGGTCCTACATTTAAATTGGTACAATGAAGTATTAAGAGCTTCACAATCGTGGATCATGCATGCTGAGGTGCAACACTACATGCTGATGATTGCAAATGTATGCATATGTAAATCTAGATATTACATACACATTAAATGTAAAACTCCAAAGGGAGATAAGAAAGTTTGAATTCTGTTTCTTCTTATTTGAATCGATTTCCCTTTTCTTTACAAGTGAAACTGTGGAAATATATTTTGTTAGACGTTCATCTTTTTTCTTTTCTTTTCAAAAATCATAATCAATCGCTGGGGGAGCAGGACTTTTGATCGTGGAATGACTTCCTGATGTCCCAAGAAGTTCATAAACCAACTCACATGTTGCTGGTGCATGCCAAAACAGGGAAACTAACAATCTTTCTGAACACATCCCTGATTTCTTTGTTTCTCAGAGAATAGATGATGGGGTTGAAGAGAGGGATAAAAAAGGCATAGATGACTGCAACGATCTTGTCATAACGCCCTGATCCCATCCATGTCAAGTGCATGTACATGAAGCCAGTCGTTCCAAAAAAAGTAAGGACCACAATGAGGTGGGAGGCACAGGTGGAAAAAGCCTTCTGGCGCCCCTCAGAGCTATTGATCTTAACAATGACTTTCAGTATCTTCATGTATGAGAGGAGGATGAGGAAGATGGGGCCCAGGATGACAATGGCATGGAGGGCAAAATCCAACACAATGCTGGTCGATATGTCTGTGCAAGCAAGACTGATCACCTGGGGGAAGTCACAGAATATATGATCTATATGACTAGGCCCACAGAAGGGCAACCTGGAAGTCAGAACAATCTCCGGCAAAGGACACGCAAAACCACACACACAGCATCCCAGCACGAGCTGAACACAAAGTTTGGGCGTCATCTTGGTCATATAAATTAACGGGGCGCAGATGGCTAAGTACCGGTCGTAAGCCATCACTGCAAGCAAGCAGGCCTCTGAGATACCCAAGCTGTGGAAGAAATAGATTTGCAGAAGGCAGCTACTGAAGGAAATGGACTTCTTGCTCCTCAGAAGGTCCACGAGCACCCTGGGCATGGTAACGGTGGTATAGAACACCTCCAAGGTGGCCAGCATAGCAATGAAGAAATACATGGGGACGTGAAGGCGAGGAATGGCAGAGATGAGGCTTAAGATGAGAGCATTGGCACTGAGGATGAGCAGGTAGGTCACCAAGAAGATGGCAAAGAGGAGTATGCCGTAGTCGCCCAAGTTGAGGAACCCATCAAGCTGAAACTCAGACACTGAAGTGCCATTGATAGATTCTACCTGCATCATAGGTAGGCTAACCTAGAACAGGAAATAAAATCTATGAAGATGGGTGGCTGGGGAATGGAAGGTCATGGAGTTCATGTATGCCTCAGACTTTCACTGCATTTCCCTGTAACTTGAAAGATACCACTCCCAGAAGCCTGCAATGATCATTATGACCACACAAATAGTATAGTACAGTTCAATCTTTTTAACAAAAGCTCCAGAATTTTTGGTAGGATCTGTGTGTCAATTACATAAAACCACATATGGTACTTCCATTCTCAGATATGATTTGAAAAAACAGTGGGTTGGGGTGGGAGGGGAAAAGGAACATTTTTTTTACTTGGTGCTTTCGGGGTCATGTGGCCAGCAGGGCTAAACCACTTCTGGCACAACAGGACACTGTGACGGAAACCAGAGTGCATGGAAACGCCGTTTACCTTCCCGGCACAGCGGTATCTATTTATCAACTTGCACTGGCGTGCTTTTGAACTGTTAGGTTGGCAGGAGCTGGGACAGAGCAACGTGAGCTCACCCCGTCGCAGGGTTTCGAACCGCCAACCTTCTTATCAGCAAGCCCAAGAAGCTCAGTGGTTTAGACCGCAGTGCCACCAGTGTCCTAGTATTAGAAGCGATGGTTAATAAAGGCTGTGCACTGCTGTGCTCCCTCCCTGCTGAAAGTGATGGGCACAGTCACTGAAGGCAAATGTAGTGCACAATAATAGGATGGGGCGTAGCTGGCCAGCTCCCATCAATCACAAGAGACAGGAAAGTAGAAATTGCACATGATACCTGGGACTGAAATGGGTTCATCTCTTTTCTTCAAAGGGAGCTGTGTGTTTACTCTGCTTTCAGTGCCAGGACTCTATAGCATCTGGGGAGTGATGACAGTGCCTCTGAGTGTATACAGCTTGTCTTTCTTTCCACCTCTAACAAACCACAGCCAGTTCTCAAACAGTCAAGATTAAGAAGCAGAGACTGGAGGCCTGATGAATTATTTCCTCAATGCTTTCAGAAGATAAAATAATAATAATAATAATAATAATAATGTCTCACCCATGAATTGCATCCCATGAGGCATCCCAAAGTGATTTACAATGTAATAAAAACATACATAAAATAATGTAAATATAAAATATTGTGTGTGTGTGGATACATAGATAATTAGATAAGTTGAAAATTTAAAACAGCAACAGGACATACATAACATACCAATCAATACAGATACCAACATTGACAAATACCTTAATTTAGAAGACTTGTTGCGTGCTGAGGTCCCCCAAAACACCCCAACCCCAATAACTCACACATCACTCATAAATTTTTGTTTAAGGTTTTTGGCATAATTTTGGACACAACTATATTAAACATACAAATTGTGAGTGGTTGCTTAGGCATTGGTTATGACTATCTGTCCCCCCCTCCCACCTTGGGGGACAGCACTGACTCCCGGATTCCAGCGAAAGCCAGTGTGGAGGAACAAGATCAGGGATAACTGGAGCTGCGACACAGACCCTCAGCTTCTCCCCGCATGCTCCCAGGGGCTTACGCGGCCCAAACCCGATTCCAGGGGTTTGGATGAAAGGATGGTAAGCCCCTAAATTCCTTTAACTGAATTCCCGTGCAGCAGCAGCATTGGAGGGGCAGGCACAGCCAATCCATACCCCTCCACCAACCAATTTAAACCAATGCCTAACCACCAACCTTACAAGTTGTGACGATTTGCTACGCAGTAGGCAAAAACCAAATGGCACACACTAATCAGCCAAATGGAAAAATTCCTACCAGGCCCCCGCACCAAGGCGGACGACCCCATGACAGGCATAGCAAGGTCAAAGCACAAGCCCAAACAAGGGAGGGCGGGCGGGTGATCCGGTGCCCACAGCAAAAGAGAAAGCAGCTTGCTGTGAACCTTGTTTAAATAACCTCTGTTCCCACCCCCAAATTGGCAACATCAAATTTACCCCAGCAACACCAACCACCAATCCAAGCCAGGCCCCTTCAATCTATCCTGCCTGGCAACTACGGGGTGCTTTGCCTGGCCCCATCTGCAACACGTGCTCTCCTTTAGTGAGAACACGCTTTGAAAGAAGAACATCTTTGCCTGGTGCCAAGAAAACAACAGTGATGGTGCCTCTCTGGTGTTTAATGGGAGTTCCAAGGAGTAGATGCTCCAATGGCAAAGGCTCAATTCTGATATTGTGCAGAAAGATCAGACAGTGCTGCAGGATAACATCTCCTGCAGAATGCAGTGGTTTTGATTTGGCGTGTAGAGAAGTGAGACAATCCTTTAGGTGTACCAATCCCCTCGTCTACAATGGGAAAATATTATACCTTTCGAAGACCCCTGTGGGAATCCCTTGTTTATTATTACTCAGACTATAGTTCTTCTGAACAAAACCGTTTCCCCAGGAAATCAACATACCCTATTGAGTATAAATATAAATATCTCCTAAAGTCCAACTATACCTGGAAGATTTTTGACTGCAAGAAATTGGATCCAAAAACTCTGGAGGCACCAAACGTTATGCTGTCGCTTTTCACACACCACAGGAGCCTCTGGGCTGCAATTCACACAACACACCCATCAGGGAGTAGTAATTCCCCCTGAGTTTATTTGTGAGTAAATGCGCTGAAGAGTTCAGAGAAAAGAAACGCAATGGTGCACCTGTAGTTTCTCCCGTATTGGTCTCTACAGCCACACCTGGCGCTGTAACTCTCCAGTGGTTTGACTTTATCCCAGAAGGCATAGTATTCACTTGTCTCCCAAGATGCCAACACAAATCTAGTTAGGAGTGGGCTGCAAATCACCTGAACGGGAAGGAATGCCTCTCATCCGAAAAGGTTTGCTCTTATAATTAATGAGGGAGCTTTAACTATTTTGGGTAGTTGTCATGCACCTTAGTTGAAGGATGTTTTTTAAAAAGCAAAGAAAGCAGGAAACAAATGATTAATCAAAACAAATCTCCAAAAGAGCAATGTAAGCTAATGTTTCCTACCCCACCCCTTCCAATAGATCAGGATCAACTTATGTCTGGGTGTTAAAAGCAATCCTCCTTTAACAAACACACACACTACATAATTTTCATAATTATCAGAACTTCAATCTTCCCCCTTACTAAGCATTATGGATGGATATTCCATAACTAGACTGCTTCTCTTGAATACTCACAGCAAAGATTCCATACTTCCCTGGCCTTTTCGACTAGCATTGCTGTAATCCAAAAATATATCCTGATGTTGAATCAGAGACCCTTTTTTGGAGCTTCCGAGAGGGAAGAGGAAACTGTTGCCCCCCATAGGGCCAACTCCTCCTCCTTATCATACAGCCAATCCAGCAGCCTTGAACTCATCCCACATTGCCATGCCTTCAGCCAGTCCTGTTTCCTGCTAGGACTTGATGCTCAATTGAGTACCATAATGGAGAACAGAAAGCTCTTGTTTCAAAAATCCCCACTGGCTACCGGTCCATTTCCAGGCACCATTCAAAGCTTTGGTTATAACCTACAAAGCCCTATACAGATTGAGTTCAGGCTGTCTGAATGAGCATCTCTCTCTATATGATTCTGCTTGGCTTTGAGAGAGTTACATTGGGGAGTTACAGCACCAGCATCGGAGAGTTACAGTGCCAGCTGTGGCTGTAGAGACCAATATGGGAGAGACTTTCTCTCAGTCCCATCTCACTCACAGGTACGTTTGGTGAAGATAAGAGGGGGCCTTCTTGGGGGCTGTTCCCAGATTGTGGAACTACCTTTGAAGGGAGACTAGACTGGCCCTAGTCTGCTTTCCTGTCACCAGCAAGCAAACTTTTTTGTTCTGACAGGCCTTTTTCTTTGGCCACTAAATGGATGTTGTAGCAGCATTGGTGTTGATCTCTCTCTCTCTCTCTCTCTCTCTCTCTCTCTCTCTGTGTGTGTGTGTTTTCAAATGATTTTCAGAGATTCTCTGTGCTGTATCTATAACACCAACTAACAAAACGGACATTAAATTCTTATTTTAAATAATAAATAAATATAAGCCAATCAATAAAAAACATTTTATATTTATAATTTAATATTTCTCCTTTGTTAGTCACTGTAATAAATACAGGGTTTTAGTGATTTCGCATCATATTACATTCCACATGTACATTGTTACATGTCTTTGTGAGCCTGTGCATGAAAGGGAATGTGTGTTTGGGGGGGGGGGGTGTTACGACACACGGTTTGGAAAGCTCTTTGCCATGGTTCTCAAAGTGGGCAGTTAACTACCCCGGGTTGTGGTGATGGGATTACACAGTGGGTGCTAAGAGACAAGTGGGGTGGCATTGGAGGTGTAAATGACTATCAGATTTTGAAAAGCTGGTATCACTGGACCACAGCAGTTTACTCTTCACAGAGCTACACCTCCCTGCACCCTGAGCAAAGGGTCCTTTGAGGGAGGAAATGTGCTTTGAATGTGCTATAAAGGTGCAATGTGCATATGCTGCCTGGTGAGATCTATGGTATTTATATTAAAGCATAGTAATTATATCTGGATTTGCATCTATACCTGTAAATTAGCACCTGTAATTCGATCCAGACCTGTTTTCTCTTTTATCTTTGGTGTCAGTGAAGGGGTGGGGTTTTTTCCCTTTGAAAATGCCTCTTATCAGTGTTGCATGGTCAAGTTGGGTTGATATAGAAGTGGCTTAAACTACGTAGGTTTGAATTCAAAATATTTATATTCTAATCTGCGCCAAGTAAAATAAATGTTCCTTTTCCCCTCCAACCCCCAACCCACTGTTTTTTCCAACCATATCTGAGAATGGAAGTATGTGGTTTTATGTAATTGACACACAGATCCCCCCCAAAATTCTGGAACTTTTGTTAAAAAGATTGACCCGTACTATACTATTTGTGTGGTCATAATGATCCTTGCAAGCTTTGGGGAGTGGTATCTTTCAAGTTACAGGGAAATGCAGTAAAAGTCTGATGCATACATGAAGTCCATGACCTTCCATTTGCCTCCCATCTTCATAGATTTTATTTCCTATTCTAGATTAGCCTACCTATGATGCAGGTCGAAGCTATGAATGGCACTTCAGTGTCTGAGTTTCAGCTTGATGGGTTCCTCAACTTGGGCGACTACGGCATACTCCTCTTTGCCATCTTCTTGGTGACCTACCTGCTCATCCTCAGTGTCAATGCTCTCATCTTAAGCCTCATCTCTGCCACTCCTCGCCTTCACGTCCCCATGTATTTCTTCATTGCTATGCTGGCCACCTTGGAGGTGTTCTATACCACCGTTACCATGCCCAGGGTGCTCGTGGACCTTCTGAGGAGCAAGAAGTCCATTTCCTTCAGTAGCTGCCTTCTGCAAATCTATTTCTTCCACAGCTTGGGTATCTCAGAGGCCTGCTTGCTTGCAGTGATGGCTTACGACCGGTACTTAGCCATCTGCGCCCCGTTAACTTATATGACCAAGATGACGCCCAAACTTTGTGTTCAGCTCGTGCTGGGATGCTGTGTGTGTGGTTTTGCGTGTCCTTTGCCGGAGATTGTTCTGACTTCCAGGTTGCCCTTCTGTGGGCCTAGTCATACAGATCATAAATTCTGTGACTTCCCCCAGGGGATCAGTCTTGCTTGCACAGACATATCGACCAGCATTGTGTTGGATTTTGCCCTCCATGCCATTGTCATCCTGGGCCCCATCTTCCTCATCCTCCTCTCATACATGAAGATACTGAAAGTCATTGTTAAGATCAATAGCTCGGAGGGGCGCCAGAAGGCTTTTTCCACCTGTGCCTCCCACCTCATTGTGGTCCTTACTTTTTTTGGAACGACTGGCTTCATGTACATGCACTTGACATGGATGGGATCAGGGCGTTATGACAAGATCGTTGCAGTCATCTATGCCTTTATTATCCCTCTCTTCAACCCCATCATCTATTCTCTGAGAAACAAAGAAATCAGGGATGTGTTCAGAAAGAGTGTTAGTTTCCCTGCTTTGGCATGCACCAGCAACATGTGAGTTGGTTTATGAACTTCTTGGGACATCAGGAAGTCATTCCACAATCAAAGGTCCTGCT